GGCAGATCTAGTAACAAAGGCCACAAGGTGAGTGACAACTACAAGCATATTCACGTTAGAGTTGCTAGAGGGTGTGAAAGGGCAGGATACTTCATCTTCCTATGAAAAATCAAGTGAAAGGAGAATATCGAAGAAAGAGGATGCATGATACCTTAGGTCAAAAGATCCCCTTCGACACAAGTATGGAGAATCCAACTTTGAGATGCCAAGGGTCAATTGCCCCTCCAAAAGAACCCCACCGTGCCCAACAAAGCTTGCTAGAGGGTTCTTGGCGTTGGAATTCCAAATCCGGTGGCGACGTCAAAACTGGTGGCGGCTGTAGTCTGAGATGAGAGAAAACCCTAGGAATTAGAGAAAGGAAAGAGGGCTCGCTATATATAGCATATGTGGTAGTCAGGTCGACTTGGGTCACAAACAAGGAGTAAGAGCAATGCGGCCCAATAAGCCCTTTTATCTCTCTTTTTGTCTTTCATTTTTCCCTTCATTATTTGTTTATTAAGTTTATGGTTGTGTTCCTGTTAACAAATTTTCTCAATAGTCATATCAACATTTTTTCATCATACAAGGACTTTCAGTTTAAAGCTTACAAATGCCCTACCTTAAATAACATAACATTCTAGCTTCACAAGAAAATATTCTAGCTTAAACAAAAAAGTTCCATCCTTGCAATGAATATTCTAGCTTAAACTTGAATAATTCCACCTCCTTTTGACACCTAGAATGAGAACAACATAATGGAGAGAAGAATATGAATATTCCTTTCTTTGGTAGGGGTAGTCAAGCTAGATGAAGTGGAAACAGGGTTTATGTAATGTGGAATAACACTGCAAGTTCCAACAAAAAACTGGTAGTGATATTCAAATAATAGCATTGCTAGTCTAGCAAAAATACTATAGTGATACGTTACTAGAAGTTGTTGACTGAACCAATACTGTTATCTGTTTTCACTATCAGTTGTCGCCACGAAGAATACCTCACCCAATGAAAAAAACCCAAAGGTAATGCCCTACTATTTCACTCTATCCATGCAAGTATGCCATGGCCCAAAACACTCACCAAGAATATCGTCCTAAAACCCATCTACGTACCAACACATGATATGATTATCATCATAACAAACAATCTCATGTAAAGGGTATAACATAGTGAAGTAGAGCATGGAGTGATAAATTCAAGTAGCAATCTAACTATGAGTATGCCTCGGTAATAGATTTTATTCAAGGTAGGGGCTCAAACATCACCCAGTCAGCTTGTTATGCGACTAGCCAACAATAAAACACTAGTCATAATAGTCACAATGACTAGATAGGCTATACAAGTGGTGAAGCATTGTGTAATAAACTACCTAAGAACCGTACCACCCCCCTCCCCAAAATCACAACTTTTAAAAAATTTTCTTCAAAACATGCCTGATGATGTGTCATGTAGATCAACTAGTCTAGTTGTGCCAAGGGCCATAATTAAAGCTAATTTAATTATGGATCAGGATCCTAGACCTTTGAACTTGTTGACTTGCATGGCATGCATCTGCAGATGCTGGAATGATCGATACTGGAACAAAAAAGTAGAAGATTCAGTCTAGAACATCTGGAATGACCTGTAGTGGCTGGAATTCTGGCCTATTTGGGATATAGTACCGGTCTCTTTAGTGGAACGGGACATTCCGATCATTTTGACCGGTATCGGAATGATCATAGTGTGTGCTGCAAAATTGAAAGGCAACCATCAGCTCTATGTTGGTTGTGTTTTTCGAATTGGATACGGTGTGTTAGGCTGGTCTGATACCCTTACAATCTGAGATAATAATCAAACTAGAAGATAACTAACAAGCCTGAGAAACCAATGCAAACGAGGAGGCAACGTGTGAAATCTCTAGCACAATCTTTTAAATGCTCAATCGAGTGGGTTGCCTAACCCTTGTAACTTTGGCGCTTTCCTCGATGCCAACTTATGACATAATAGTTTTTCCCCAAGTGGTTTGGACAAGATAGAAAATTGACAAAATTAGGTCTTTTCTTTGGAAAGGAGATGAAAACACAAATGGAGGTCATTGCCTGGTTAATTGACCAATGGTCAATAGACCAAAAAATATTGGAGGGCTAGGAGTGACAGATCTTGCCAAGTTTGGAAGAGCTCTATGACTTCGATGGCTTTGGCAGGATGGGTTGATGATTCTAAACCTTGGGTGGGAATTGTGGTTCCCTACAATGAAGGTGATCGGCTTCCCTTTAACATGTCTACCTAGCCTCAGTGGGAAATGGAAAGAAGGCGCGGTTCTGGCAACGTAAATAGCTTGATGGTTAAGCTCCTAGAAACTTGGCTCGACATCCTTTTGAGGTAATAAAGAGGAAGACCAAGTCAATTGAACAGGAGCTTGGAAACAATGCGTGGATCCAGCCACTTTGAAATAACATTACAACAACCGTCCAAGTAGAGGAGTTCACGTCACTATGGATTAGACTTCATAATATACAATTGCAACCCGAAGTTCAAGATTCCATAATTTGGATGTGGACAGATGATGGCAAGTACTCCTCGCGCTCAACATATCAGATTCAGTTCAAAGGATTGATCCTATTCGTGGTACAAGCTAGACAAATTTGAAAGGCACATATAGAGAACAAAAGCAAGATATTCGCTTGGACACTGATACAAAGGAAACTTCTCATAGTTAACAACCTATACTCATGGGGCTGGCTGTACCATGCGAATTGCATTTTGTGCAACGATCAGTTGGAGACTGGCCTGCACCTAGAATCGTCTGGAACGAGGTGATGATGTTAGGTTTAGTTCCATATTGGTAATTGATGGTGTGGGAGCACAACATATAAGGCGGGGGTAGCCCTCACCTATCAGACTAGTCTTTTGGGTTGAGTTTGGCCCAATGCTTGGGTATGTTGTGGGCTACAGTGGACCTGGGCCCGAGGGGCGTCGGCTCATGGGCATAGTGAGCTGAGCCGGAATCAACTGCGCACTCTAACAAGTGGTATCGGAGCCCGTGGTCAGAAAACCTAGAAAATCTCAGGGTCACATGGTGACGGGGGAGCCAGTTAACGCCTCGGAGGTCACACGGGTTGTGTGTGACAGGAGCGTTGGACAAGGAGCCTGGTTAACGTCTTCCGGAGATCACACGGGGTTGTGTGATGTGAAGAGTTAGGTCTGAAGTGTGACGAGGGAGATTATTAGGTTTAGTCCCATAACAGTAATTGATAATGGGGAGCACAACATATAAGGTGGGGTAGCCCTCACCTATCAGACTAGTTTTTGGGTTGAGTTAGGCCCAAGGCCTTGGTATGTTGTGGGCTCTGGTGGACCTGGGCCCAAGGGGCGCCGGCTCGTGGGTATAGGGAGTTGGGCGGATTCCGCTAAGCACTCTAATAGATGGCACGAAAAAACTTTGGCATACCTTTAATCCAGCAAGTAGATGAACCATTGGCTATTAGCATTTGGTGGGAAGCAGCAGCCTAGTCTATCTCCAAAGAACGACGCCGACGATTCAATGGTGTGGCAACTACATAATTGTGGAACTTATGGAAGAAACGAAACCGAAGGATTTTTGAAAACAGCTTCCAATCAGCTCTACAAGTGACCTCGAGAGCCAAAGATGACATCAACCAACGGAAGAGGGTGTTTCCTTCAAGCATTTGATTTTCACTGTCGTAATTCCCACTCCCATGCCTCTTCTCTGGGTTCTTTAGGCTCAGTTTTTTTCTATCCCCAGATCATTTCTGAGGAGTTTTGTTGCTAGATCCCTTTGGGGTATGGAATTAGCCTGTACTATGTGCTTTGAACTGTCTTTTTCTCTCTTAATTGAAAGACAGAGTTCCAGCAATTTTGTCAAAAAAAATCTTTTGAGAGGCCTAAGCAGCTTGACCTCAACAGCCAAACAAAGGTTTAGAATGTTAGTGCAGATAGAATTCGCATGTGTTTCCCTCCTATCATGATTGTACGTTGCTCCATGAACCCACTTATCCATGTCCATCAACACTTCAATGGAGCATTGATTTATCTCATCAACACATAAAAACTTTTAGTCGGCATTGCAAGAAAGCCAAACGTACAGAATCCACCAAACTTTTTCATCCATCAAGTTTGACGGCTCTAATAATCTAATCTCTAATTATCTGTGAATTAATGAACCTATAAGCAAAGCATAGCAACTCATTACAAGTATAAATGTCCGATACTTAAGTCCACAGGCAGTAATTACTACTACAGCTGAGTTCTATAGAGGCGGCTGGCTTGCCTCTATAGAGACGGTTGGCCCAGCCGCCTCTCCTATTCCGTCTCTACAAATTAGTGATTTGTAGAGGCAGTTATCCAGCCGCCTCTATAAATATCATTTATAGTGGTTAAGAACAAGAGCCATCTCTACAAACAGATTTTCAGAGACGGCTAGGCTATTTAGCCACCTCTACAAATAGATTTAGCACAGGAGGCTTGGAATGAAACCCGCCTCTATAAACCCATTTGTAGAGGCGACTGAAACTTTCTAGCCGCCTCTCGTATATTTCCCGCCAAAATTCTAACTATGTTTCTAAATTAATATGCATACACTTGTTCAAATGTACACCACATTTGGGTGCCGATCATTCATGAAACATGCTCACCTGGATGCACGAGGACATTTGATAGTATGAGATAATACACGTCCATAATAATTTAAATTAAGTCAGTACACAACAAAGTATTTTTAAAGGTGGATGATAACAACAGTCGCCTCTACATAAGCATTTGTAGAGGCGGTTCAATCAGCAGCGACCTGTACAAATGCTTCTTCAGAGGTGGCTAGTTTCGGGGGCCACTGCAGAGGCGGCCCAATCAGGAACCACTGCTGCCCTAAAATGCCACCGTTGCTATAAATCGTTTCTTTAGTAGTGTAATAAGTAACTAAAGAAAGCAGTGTCATCTGTTACCCTTGGAACACAAACACTAGAATACTATTACCAGAGAAGATTACTGTCTATTGGCTAGCATCACCATACCTCCGGAGCAAAGCTTCACAGGTGCAAAACCAAGGACATGCCAAGGCTCAGTTCAAGGTCTACTTCCATAATGCTGCTGGTTCCCACCCCGGGAGCAGCCAATCCCATCTGCTCCTGCGTGACCGGGAAAAGCTCCAGGCAGGCTTGAGAAGCTACCACATCAGGCTGAGGAGGCTCACCCTCCTCATAACGCTGCTGGTGATTGGTGCCAGGGTTCAGTCCAACTCCTACTGCAGGACTGTTACCTGAGACAGAATTTGTAGTCACCATCTCTGCCGGCTCTGAGACCACTAGAGTACCTTCAGTAGCCACATCCTGGATAAGCTCCTGTGCTCTCGGTGTCTTCTGGGCAATGTCTACTCCAAATCCAAACAGCTTTGCGGTGAGGGATTCGTAGCCGGAGCAGGACTGTCCATGGCCAGTCTTCTCAGCTAAATGTGCAGCAACACTTGAGACATTTGGTTTGGTTGAAGAAGAGGTGAAGGTGTCTCCTGGCTGGCTCACTTCTTCGGGATGATGCACTGAGCAGTTTGATACCGCTTTCGGAGAGTTTGGCTGCTTCAGTTCCACACAAACTGCTGCCTGGGAAGGTCGTCAAACATTCTCCTGTAATGGTTTCCATAACCTCATCAATTTGTGCCTCGCAGGTGCTGTCGACCAGCGGTGGATTCTCACCATGACTGTCATTCATAGCACAAGTTATTTTCTCTGAAGATGCAGGCTGTGCGTCATCTACTTGGTTCAAAAGATGTTGTGCTTGTTGTCCCCTTTCATCTACGGGCACGGCACATGCTGAACCATTTTGTTCTCCACCTAGAAGAACTATGTCAGAGTCCATATTCTCATCAATTTGTGCCTCGAAGGTGCTCTCGACCAGTGGTGGATTCTCAACATGACTGTCATTCATAGCACAAGTTATTTGTTCCGAAGATGCAGGCTGTGCCTCATCTACTTGGTTCAAAATATGTTGTGCTTGTTGTCCCCCTTCATCTACGGGCACGGCACATGTTGAACCATTTTGTTCTCCACTTGGAACAACTTCGTCAGAAATGTCCTTCCTTCGCCTGAACAATCCCCAGAGGCAATGTTTCCAATGGTACACTGAAGAAAAAAGAGAATTGCATTAGCAACAGGCAAATAGCAAACAAAATACTACATATAGTTATTGACTACAAAAGCTGTTGAAGTAGGCAAAATTCATAATAACTATGCTCAACGTAACTGAGCAGGATATCAGATGGAAAGGGAATTTTATAACACAATACTTACACTGATTTTGTTCTGGCAACAGGACAGATGGGAAGATCAATAGATCAGCGGTAGCAGCAGTTACTTTTAGGGCACTATCAGTCTCAGTTACTTCATTCACTAGTTCGTCTGATAATTCATTTGACCTGGAGTGCATTGATAATGTTTAGTGCATCATAATTGCATCAAGCTGAAGAAAAAGATAATAATGCAATGTTGGCAAACACACCTCGAATTAGATGGGAAGAAATACAATCCAATGCATGAATCTGTAGGTCCTGAAGACTCCCATCCCTTTGGCCAGACTTGCAACCGAGGAAGCTTCACTACTTCTAGTACTGGTTGCAATGATCTTGAACATTCCTCCACTTTCTTACATGCTTTACTTGACAAGTGTGCATCCACCTTAAGACAAGCTTCACTGTTTATCTTGAAAATTCCACTATTGACAGAGAAATAAAAAAAATCAAAATTTATACAAAGCAGTGTCACTTTGATTTTGCAGAACGTAAAGACCATTGAACATACCTCCAAATAGGTTTGCTGCTATCATTAAACATGACCACGGGACTAGGCTGCTTAACATTGTCCAATGGATGAACAGAGTTTTCTTTTCCAGGATCCTGCTGGTTCACACCATCGTTGGTGATGGGGTTATCCAATGGTTTCGTAATTGACTTCCTTCTTGAATAATACCTTCCATATCTATTAACAGCACCATATTTCATCATGCCGTTGATGTCATTCATAACACAAAAGCTCCACTGATGACCTATCAAAAACAGTTTCCTCTAAGCAGTATCTGCATACTGATGAATCATAATAAGAAAAATGTTAATTGCTACTTCTATTTTGAAATCCATTTAAATATAATAATAAATAAAAGTTGTACTAACATAATTCAAGTTATTGTATTTTCAATGAACTCATATGTTGACTTGGTCAATACCATAAATGTAGTTGACAAATTTTCTTTATTTGAGGTAGTTTAGGGTCAAAATATCCTTAGAAGCTTTTAGATCTATTTTATTTTGTATCTTTTCTACAGGCCTGCTGCTTATAATTTCTCACCAAAGCTAAAAAAGGAAAGGTTATCCTATTCCAATCACTAATATGCTTTGTAATGGGATGGTATGGATGGCTTGCTTGCATTGAGCGTGGAGGTTTTGAGTTTGAATCTTAGGAAACACACATGTATATTTTTTCGAAAAGGAAATATTTTATTAATTCACAATCATTACACACATGCGTATTTCTCATGACAAATCACACAGCGTCTGACTTGCAACCACAGTGTTTAGCTAGTGGACTTTTCACATAATAAAAAAACTTTGTCTCTATTATTTTGTCATTTTTTTGTTTCCTAAAAATCATTTACAGAGGGCTACCTAAGTCATCCGCCTCTAAAATCCATTTATAGAGGAAGGCCTACCTCTGTAAATGATGACTAAAGATGGTACATTGCCACCTCTAGAAACCATCCATTTTACAGACTTTTGAGGAGTGGAGCAAAACCACATCTCATTATTGATTTCATCTGTCTCTATATATAAATATATTTTATTGTAGTGTTGTACGTAACATATCCCTTGTCAATTCCATTTTGTAGTAGTGTGCTAAGTAACGTATCCCTCGTACTCTCTGCAACAAACCAGGAATCATCCAAAACCAGCGTATCCACACACCTTCGCAAACACTGCCTGCAAAAAGTTGCAAAAGTTCTCTTCCAAATTTTCGTTTGTAGATGTATGCCAAGATATAATTGCCAAACTATTCATCTACTAGGGGTGTGTTTGGTTTGAGGAATGAGATGATCCATCTTTTTCTCGCTCTGAGACTTTTTGGTTTGTTGTGGAATGGAATGGGTTGATCCATCACCATATCATTCCTCACATGCTAATAATTAGTATATGAATGAATGAGGAATGTGTTGATTCTACCAAAATACATGGGATGATCTTATGATGCACCACCTCATGAAGCATGGAGTGATGCACCACCTCATGAAGCATGGAGTGATTCCATAAACCAAACACACCAGATCTGCAATCTATTACTGTTTCATGCTAATTTCCTTTTTTCTGCTTACAAAATTCTATTCATTCTCAAATTTTGCATGAGCATGCATCTTTGTACCATCTACCCATCCATATTTTTGGTTTATCTTTTTATGCACATTTTGATGGATTTTTTGAAGTGGGAGCATGGGAGCACCTAAGGAGGTTGGAGCACTAGATATATTCTCCTGGGCCACGTAAACTCAACCAATATCTATATTTATATCTATATCTATATCTATATCTATATCTATATCTATATCTATATCTATATCTATATCTATATCTATATCTATATCTATATCTATATCTATATCCTCTAACAAAGTTAATCCCCACTACATGTTCTATCTCTTCATGCAAGGTGTCCACATCATTCCCACTAAGTCCCACCACTACTTTGCAATCTTTTCATGCAAACTAACTATCCATGTCATCCTTTATTAATTGAAAAAATTGCTAGGCTGGTTCTTCACCTTGGTGAATTGGACACAGGCCTACCCTAACACCTTGGTTCTCCCCAGTGGCTAAAATAATGTCACACCACATTCCTTGTAAGGTAATGATATAGGGACCAAGATACCAAAATCCAACATCTTCTGCTTTGAAAACTTTTGGGTTAAACATGAATGGTTTATGGAAGAAGTCTAGAACACATGGAGTCAACCATGCCATAGACCCAATGTTGTTGCTATTCTCTCTACTAATCTCAAAGTCTCATATACTCACTAAAGTCTTGGAGCAAAAGCTTGTCTAATCTCAAGCTTCTCATCACAAACTATAATAAAGTGATTTTTTACATTGACTCACTAAAGGACAGTAGAACTCTGTTCAATCCAGAATGGAACCTAAAGCATATAGTCAAAGAGCAGTTACTACCCTTCTAAATACAAAAAAATGTTTATTGGAAGAAGAGGTGCACAATGAACATAATCAAGTTTGGAGATGAATGCACTAGGTTTTTTTCATGCAATGGTCACTATATCTTATAGAAAGAACTTAATCTCACAACCCCTCAATCACCAAGGTATTTGGATCCAAGATCATGATGGCAAAGCATGACTCATATGGAATTCTTTCAAAAACATAATGGGAGTAACCTCAAACTTATTAATGCATTTTGACCTCTATGCTCTCTTCCATTCAACCATTGATCTACAATAGTTAGTGGAAGCTTTTCTAAAGGAAGAAATTGATCAAGTAGTCAAACAAATGTCCCCTGATAAAGCACTAGGACTTGATGGTTTCAATGGCCACTTCATGAAAAAATGCAGGAGTTCACAAAGAATGACTTTTATAGACTATGTGATGACTTCTATAATGAAAGTGTGAATCTTGAGAGCATTAGCAGTTCACTCATCACTTTGGTCCCAAAAACAAATAGCCCTATGACACTATAAATGATTTTAGGCCAATTTATTTACTCAATGATAGCCTAAAACTTAAAAATCTCCTACTCGATCATCTGTAGCTAGTCATTACTAGATTAATTCATCAAAACCAATACAGTTTCATCATGACAAGATCTATCCAAGACTGCCTAGCGTGGTGCTTTGAACATATACATCACCTCAAACTTGTTTTTGAAAAGGCTTTTGATACTGTCGAACATGGTACAATTCTTCAAGTGATGTGGCACATAGGTCATCCAAATAAATGGATGAGTTGGATTGAATCATTGCTTTCCTGCTAAACATCCTCAATGATCTTAAACAAAGTCCCATGTAAAAAATTTAAATGCAAAAGAGGAGTGCACTAGGGTGACCCCCTCTCCCCCTTATATTTGTCCTAGTGGCTAAAAACTATTATAGATAATTAGTAACAAAGCATAAATCTAATCCTCATCTAAGCACCAATTCCATAGGGAGCAAGAGATTTTCTGATTATTAAATGATGACACACTCCTCATTTTACATGTTGATGCGGCAATTAACTTGCCTCAAGTCTCTTCTACATACCTTCGCAGAGTCCACAGACCTAAGAGTAAATTACAAGAAGTCCCATATCCTACCTATCAATGTCTCAAGGGAGAAAATGAGTATTCTAGCGAACACATTTGACTTTCAAATTGGTAAAATGCCCTTTGCCTACTTGGGCCTACTGATAGGAACAACCAAGCCATGCATGGAAGACCTAACTCCTTTGATGGATACAGTTAAATGCCATCTCACTGCAAATGATCAACTCCATCATCACCCCAAATGTGACTTATGCCTTACGCTCCCTCAATCTACATTTAGTGATAATAGATAATATTAATAGAGCTCGAAAGCAATGTCTATGGAGAGGAAATGATACCAGCAAAGAAGTAGGGAATCTGGCTGCCTAGCCATTAGTCTGATGGTTTGTGTCATGACATGGAAATGGTATGGGGTGTAGGGGCCTCCTTTTCCTATACACTTTAAATTGAAAACGAAGTGCTAAGGGGACCTCCCCCATAGTGTTTTTCCATCAAGAAAGTGATATGGGGAGTATCATTGTTGGGTTAGGCTACAACTCGGCAATGATATTCCTTTGATGGTTCATGCCTTGTTTTGGCAACAACTAGCAAGCCCCATCATGCTGAAATCCCTTTGCTAGCTCTGATTCTAGTAGTGATGTTAGGTTTAGTCCTACCGGTGATCCATGGATCTAGAGTAGTGACTATCTAGAAGGCATCAACTTCTCCAAAACTTCTACTTGTCATCAAACAAGCCACCATCCACATTATGCCAACTTTATCCCAATCCTAGAACTTGGCTTCTCATCAATTTAATCCCAAAAAGTGTCTTCATTTATGATTTTGTTATTGAGATTGTTTACACTTAGAAACCTTTGGGCTTCCTTAGGGCCTTGAGTCCATGAATGGCATGAAACAAGAACCTTGTCTATAATTCAATCATTTCACCTCTCATACCTGTCGATGCGGGACCCACAGGATACCCCGGCAGGAAGGGAGAAGATCTAGTCCAACTAGGATTCTTCCCATGTAGTCCTAGTAGTAGTATTATCCTGTAATCCTACTAGGAACTTTCATTGTAAACCGACTAGGACTCTGATCTCCTAACTATATAAAGGAGGCTGGGGTTCCTAGAGGACGGGGGGATACAACACAACAACACACAATCAATCCAACGCAAAGGCTAACGCCGACTGGACGTAGGGCTATTACTCGACCACAATCGAGGGCCTAAACCAGGATAAATCGACTGTCTCTTGCGTTCACTGTCGAGTTTCGCATACGCTGAAGCCCGAACATACTGTCCCGGGTAATCCCGTGACAGGCTATCGGTGGTAAAACATCGACAGCTGGCGCGCCAGGTAGGGGCTTTCGGCGAATTTGCATCCGAGAGCTCGATGGACCTCGACAACATGATCTTCTCAACGGGATCAACCTTCATGTTTGGTTCGTGGATCTGTGAGGCAGGCGACGATGGCAAGCTCCAAAGCCATCTTCTCAAAGATTCGGTTCACCATGAAAACTTTCCTATTTTGGCGACCACGATAGATCAAATCACCGGAAGATTCGCGCAGCTCGTGATGTCCGATTCAACTCAGGTTTCACAGCTTTACGCATCCGACTCGAACTCAGGCTCCGCATCCAAGATGGGGTATGACCCGGGTTCTTTTGAGAATCCGAGTTCTTTTCCAATGAGGCTACAGAACGCGGCCTCGGTATATCAAGAATACAACTC